CCTCATTTTCCCCTCCCTTCTGCTGGCAAGGAGGATGCTAATTTTTCTGTTACAATGAACTGAATTTCTAAATCTAATATAACCAAAGACCTTTAATCTTGTACTTTTGAAAAGAGTAATTGTGGCTACAGGCAGTATCTTTTTCAACAGAGTTTAATAAACAAGTGACACTTCTTAATAGTACTAAGGGAAATTTATGTTAAAGCTAATTAAGCTCAGAAATTATAATTTGATCTAATGTCCACTTTTGTCATAAATTCAACAAATCAAATTGTTTTAAACTAAAGTCATTTTGACAGGTAAAGATTCTGGGAAACATCATTCCTGAGTATAACAAATGGCTCATACTTAAATTTGTTTCTCCTGCAGAGTATAAAATACCAGTATTTCTTGTAAAATCAAAGTCATCCACATATGATTTTGTGAGTCCATTGCTTTGCCATTAGAGCTAAGACATGGAAAGCAAAGGGACAATGTGAAAATAATTAATGTGGCAATCCCTACTCAAAATGATAAATGGGTAAACAAATCCCTCAGTTTCTAAGATATAAGAACTGAAACAACAGCATCACAGAAATTGACTGTCTCAATTTTCTACTTTTATGATTGTCTTATATTTAAATTTTCTATTTGCCCATGTGTGTATTTGACAACGATACATTTGTCAATCTTCATGACTTTCTTATATGTTCCACACAATAGCACATGAAGGCAGGCCTCAGGGAGGGATCAGCAGCACTGTGTCACCAGGATCCCAGTCCTGGTTTTTCCCCACACACGGTGACAATACCTCCCTCGGCAACATGCTACACACAGAGGCACACGTCTTTTGAGCTGCTCGATTTAGGTCATACAGAAACAGCAGGTCTGATTTAAAATGTTAGAGGAAAAGAAACAGTTAAAAATAGCAGACAGGCTATTCTGCCTGTACACAGTTCAATTCTGTAAATACGTAGTTCACAAAGCTGTTATTTCACTTGGATAATAAATCATAACAGAACTAGCACCTGACGAAGCTGCAGAATGTGGAATTTCTCTGAAACGCTGCCTTGCTTAGACCACACAGTCCACAAGCAGTGAGAGCTGTGTTCTGACAGCTCTTTTTATTTCCCTGCCTTGTCAATTAGGAAAGTTCACTTAACATCTCTGAGCCTCAGTTTCTCTCATCTTAAAATAAAATGACTGAACTTACCCTCAGTGAGTTGTGGGCAGACCTAACTAGATGCTGCCTGGAATCAACGGTCCAATACACTTGTTAAAGAACATATATAAATATACATATATTTTGAGCGTGAATGTCCTTGTTCCTTAAGGTGCAGGCCCTGGACCTGCTGTTTGAGATGAAAATGCAGCTGGAAGCTTGCAGAGCAGTTAACCCTTAACTTTCATTTGCAAGGAGGAGTTACACATGATGCTGTGGGCTTTTGTTTGATGGAGAGTCACACCATGGGCTCATCTCAGAGAAAATTCAGTGCTGCCACGTACTTGACACAGGAGGCTTGACTCTAACAAAACACAGTATTCCTAATTTCTCTAATGTGAATCATATGCCCAGTTAAAGGAACCCAATTTCAGTACCTTCATGAAACTGATTCAGCTTCAAGAAGAGACTGACTGTGAGACACTGTGCTGGGTTCTCTAACAGTTTCTCACAGAGCAGAGGGGATGCACATCATTTGTTTAAACAATTATGAAATGTGGCAGAAAGCGTGCCAGGGAGGAAGTGCCACAGGAATTAGGAGGGAGAAAAATACTTCTAGCTGGAGGAATCAGAAGAGACTTGGAAAGAGAAGCAGGTTTTTGCCACATGAAGATAGAAGTGCATTTCAGGCAGAACAGCCTGAGTTGAGGTATTAGCAAGTAAAAGCATGAAAGACTCTTCAGTAGAGAAAGTCGTTTAGCATAAAATTGTACAAAGTGGGTAGAGGTGCTTAGGGTGGATCATGGAAGGTTCAGAGTGCCATCGATGAAGACCATTCTTGCAAAGTAGGAACAAACCTCTAATTTATCTCTGTATTACTTTAAAAATCTCATGTATCAGATATGTTTTATTCTGTAGTCATAAAAACCTCTCAAGTGTCTAACTCAACCCTCCCCAAAGACCAGGAAACTAGTTTTTTGTTTTTTTTTGGTGAGGAAGATTGGCCCTGAGCTAACACCTGTTGCCAATCCTCTTTTTGCTGAGGAAGATTGGCTCTGGGCTAACAGCTGTGCCCACCTTCCTCTATTTTATAATATGTGGGATGCCGCCACAGCATGCCTTGATGAGCAGTGCATAGGTTTGGATTCCTGGGATCCGAACCTGCGAACCCTGGGCCACCGAAGCGGAGCGCGCGAACCTAACTACTACTCCACTGGGCTGGCCCCTGACCAAGAAACTATTGAAAGTGGTACCCATGCACTCTACAAACATCCTCCCCGGAGACTGAAGCTTGTAAGCCCCACAGGGCTTGGAGGAGGCTCCGCTCCTTGTCGGGACAGCATCCTTTGCTTAGTTAACTACCCACCGCACAGAGACCCAGACTCTCCCTCTCCTAACAGGGCTGGCCTCTACTAGAGTCAAATCGAAGGTAATTCTGGTGCTTCAAAGGGAAAAACATAAATTTTTCAATGCCTTTGAACATTTAGGTACAGGGTTTTGAATTTAGGGAATATCTTAGCTTTTTGTGTTTTTGATTTTTTTAAATCAAGGGATTAATGGTGATTATCTCTTGATAGATGGAATTATGGGTGTTATCATTTATTGGCCAATCTGTATTTTCTGATTTGTTTCCTAAATAAACTCTTATTTATTTATTCCTATTTATTATTTATAAATTCCTACATTATTTATGTTTCCTAAATATTATTCCTAAAACAAATATTCTTTTGTAAAAAATATTTCCAGCTATTTTCTAATACTAACCATTCAGAAAAAGAAAAACTGGCTGAAATGAGTTGAGAATAAAGCTGACAAGCAGAAAAAACTTAAAATGTAATAAAATGCCTAAAGATGCTGCCAAGATTCCAAAACAGCACCACGACTGGCAATGTCAACTTTTGGTTTAGTAGTCATATTGTTGGAATTGTCCTCTATAAAACAGTATATTATTATTTCCTATTAAGAATACAGAACTTCATTTTCAATATTCTTACAGCACATATTTCTCAGATATTTACAAAGCACCAACTACTGTCCTTGGTGCTGAGGACACTGTCAGGATGGAGCTCACATTTTAGGTGCCTCATGGCAAACGTCCATATGCTCACTTCATTCTTGGCTCTGTATCACTTTCTTACCCTTGTTTTTCTGTCACCTCTATATTTTCAATTATTTTTAGTGTATTTTACTTTTCCTATTGAATCTACTCCTTCCTTATAAACCATTTTAAAACATTTGGATCAAGGTGGATGGAAATAAATGAAAAACTAAACAAAGAGGTAAATAACTATATGTGCTCTATTTCTTATATCTACAAAGTTCTAATTTTGTATAGTAAGGTGTTGCAGAAGTCTGTCACTTGCTGGAAGTGAACAAGTGCTACATTGTGTTGATATGGGATCTATGCTGTGCTCTTCTCCCTTCGTCCACCAACATTTTGGGAGAGAAACGAAGAAGAAGAACTATCGTTGTGGCCAAGTGCCCGTCTCATCAATTCCTGATTTTTCTCCACTTGTGCAGAAGGAAAGTGTTAGAACATCCTATGGCTGAATTTATGTAAGAAGGTGATTTTTGCATTTCCCATTCCTCCTCACGGAAAAGACAGCTGGAAACATTCAAGCAGAGCAGATAAAGGTGAATAGGGAAAGAAAATTTCAATATTTAAAGAACTAGTTTGGCAAGATAAATCCAATTCTTAAGATTACCTCTTAGAGAAGGGAATTAACTTCAATCACAGAACAAAGTATAACTGACTCATGAGAGGAATTTGGTAGCTTATAGTTTTTTAAAAAATGGAGCTAATTCAAAGACAGGGAGGGTAGAGCAAAGGAACACCCCCATGAAAATCATAAGAAGCTTTCTGTATCCAATTTTTCTGAAGTGATCTCATCAGACTGGTCACACGGGAAGAGGCTTTCCTCAGCCAAAGTCCACGGCCAACAGACAGTTTCTGGGGTCACCCAGAGGGTAACTGTAAACAACCACCTTTGGGGTTGTAAATGGGAGAGACAGCAGGTGGGCAGGGAGGGGAGATGAGGAGGGGCTTGTGTGAACCGTCCTCCGTTCCAGGACCCGCTGTGAGTGAAGTGTTTATCCTCTTAACACGTTCGAGGAACAAAGTATGCAGCTGTGCCCGGGCTGGCTCATCTGGGTGAGGTTGTGGAAGCGCCCTGGGAAGAGAATGCCTACATGGTGTTCCTGTCCTTCATAGCCATCCTAACCTGGCAGAGTGATCTCCATGGATGTGCACCTCATGGTAAGAGCTCAGAAAATAGTGAAGGTGGCCAGAGTAGGCTAACGAAGAGAAAGAAAGCAAGTGTCTTTTAGCCATGGTTAATGCAAGGATATCTTACAAGGGTGGCCTCACTTACACCTATGCCATAGAAATGCAGCAAATACCAATTATAATTGCTATTTCTACATTGCTGTCACAGCAGCAAATTCCCGAACCTCCTTCACATCCTGGAATTCTGCCTACAGAAATTACTGCCTATGTATGGGAGACCAAGTACTACAAGACACAGGATTTCCTCCACAATGAAACATTTGTCTAGTGTCTAATCTTTAAAAAGCCTGACTTCAGGGGTCTGGGAAAACTGCTATTCCTGCTACAAAAGTTAAAATGTTCCAGATAGAATAAGCACCATGAATGCTAGTTATGAACAATGGTTACTGACAAATGAAGGCTAAAAAAGAAAAAGAAAAGAAACAAGTGTGCACCAGTCAAATGCACTTGATGAGAAGGTATCTTCTAAACGTAGCTAAGCATCAGCAAGGAGCCTACGTTGAGCCGTCTGTGCTGCATGCCCATCATTAAAAGTTTCTGACTCAAGCGCCTATTGATATCAATGAAACTCACCTGCAAGCAAATTGCCAGGTTCACTCTACAGCCAAATGAGGTGCTAACGGCCCGAGGATGGAGGCCGAGGTCTTTAAACAGTTTTGAGAACGACTGGGTGAGTGCTATTCGAGGCCGTTCTTCTGCCACGACCACACATGTCCGCACGCGAGACAAGTCCAGGCCTCGTGCCTAGAAATAACGACAGCGGTGAGAAGTCAGCCTTCCAAGGGCGTAGGGGTGTGACCTGCAGGCTCCTTAACTAGACCCCATAGAACAAGAGAAACTCCACACAGACATTCATTTCAAAGCTCTGTGTCCACATCATCAATTAAACCATTCTAGGACGTCTGTGTAAAAAAAAAAGTCACACAGACATCAGATTGTCAAGGATGCCATTACAAACATATCTTAACAGCAAGAAGCATATGAGGAGAAAGACTGAGCAGAAGCGAGGTCCTGGATAAAATAATTAAAGAAAACGGTTTGGGGAAGAAAGGAAGCATTTGTATACACGCCTACAAACACGGACCACAGGACATACATGGAGAGAAATGAGAAAACCTATTGTTAATATAGGGATGGAAAACTCAAGTGTTTGGACAACTTCTTAAAGACAGCTCTCCTTAGAAGGTCACAGATAAATCCTCACGATCAAGTGCACCTCAGTTTCTAGGGTCCACACACGATCAAGCACGTCCCAGTTCTGCACCAAGTTGTGTCAACTGAGCAAAACAGCGGAGGAGGAATTCAAGTGAGCCAAGCACACCACGGTGTGGTCAGAGCTGGGCTTCCTGGGCTGAGCTGAGGAAAGCAAAGAGTGGCAGGAGCTGCATTTAAACATGGAGGTGGAAGCAAGAGCCCTGAAGAGGACAATTGCCACCAGCAGAACCATTCAGTCCTTCAAGCGTCCTGCAAGGTGGTCTTGGCACATGGACAGATGACAAGGGCTCCTAAACAGGAGGGAAACACAGCCCAAGATAACTCTGACACTGAAATTTAGTACATAGGTTTGATTCTACACACATATAGTTACACAGGAAAAACTGAAATCTGGGTCACAGAAATGATCTATGTACACATGGGTATACTTTGAGAGGCAATGCAGCCTGGGGTTTGAGATGGTGAACCTGGAGCTAGAGATTCAAAACTTGCTCCAAAGTTTATTAAATCTAAGAACTTGGAAAGGGTGCTTAATTTCTCTTTGTTTCCTCACCTTTAAAAGTGGAGCCAATAATGGTTTCTATTTCAGAGAGCTGTTGTAAAGGTTAAATAAATCATATGTAAAGTGCTTAGAAATCACTCATTTATTTTGTTATTTCATTTTGGTTATTTATATATGCACCTACAGGGAAAGTTCATGAAATGTACTCAATCATTTTTTAAAGTAATATAGGTGGACATGAGTAATAATTATGTTTTATGAATTTCTTTTCCTGTATAAATATATAACTTCAAGTAAGTATACATTCATTCATGTAGCTTAATGTCCAAGTTATCTTGCATGTTGTGTTCTGATTCAAGCTTAACACATTAGGTCTCAACAGGAAAACAAAATTCAGGAGAGAGAAATGTATTCTTTACTATTTGAATGTGTGCAGATAATTTGTGTGTGTATACACACACACACAAATATAATCTGTATACACACAAAGACATACACACATTTGGGCATATAAACAGTGACACATAAATCAAAACAGGTCATGTGGTCACTCCCTCGTAGTTACTTGGATAAGGACTACTTAATTTACCATGAAAATATGTCCATCAAAATGTCCTTGGTTTAAATGTAGGGAAATTCTATTATTGTCACATAATAGTAATCATATATATGAAAAAAACAAAACACTGTTCGCTTAGTTGTAAAAATGAATTTTGTTTAGAATCCAGACCTACAAATCAGGGTCTTCAAGGAAAACCAAAATGAGTGGCTAAATTCAAACCTATGGCTTGAATACCACTGTCAGAATAAAAACTTCACTGAAGAACTGAATTCACCAACAAATAAAAAAAGCAATTCAGGACCCCTCAAGTAGACCTAATGGAATTAAAGACATCAAAAATATACTCTCTGACCTATAACACTTTGTGTGAGTGGGAAAATATTCATGTTATGAAACGAGGTTTTCACATGAAACAATTCTGTAAGCTTCAGGTGACAGCAAATTATATCTTGGCTTTTGTGAAGGATTACTTTAACTTCACCAAACCCCTTCCACGCCCTCGGACATTGTGCTCCCCTAGGACACTGTAAAGTGTTCTCCGAGGCACTGTGACACTGGGTGAGGCGGCTGCTTACCTTGAGGGATTCTGTCTGCGAGCCCAGCCCCTTGGTACAGAGTTCCATCACCGAATAGGAGCAAAATGTATCCCGGACTTTGTACTGACTCACGGCAAGAAGCCACAAGGCAGGGTTGGTCTCCAACTCTGAAGGCGGGATGAGAATGGACTGGTGCCCAGAGTACACACTGCAGGGAGAGACGGGTGCACGCAGTGAGGGTCGAGAAGCAGGGACCACCCTGTCCATTTGCCAGAGGGGGATGGTCATCCCAACTACTATGAGGTGTTAGTGAGTATAAGATGGAAGCGTGTTCATGAAAACATTCTGAAAAGCACAAAAGAGCTATAGGAATCACGATCCAGAGTTATTACCACTTTAAGCACACATTTAAAACATCCAAAAGCTGTGACACTGTTAGTTTCTCTCAAAGCTGCTACATTAACAAACTGGATTCTCTTTCGTGGGAGGAAAAACAGGATCGAATTTGGTAAAAATGTCTGGAAGTTTAGAACAGGAGTTAGCAAACTACAGAGGCTGCCTGTTTTTGTAGATAAGTTTTACTGGGACACGGCCACTCGTTCCTTTGAACACGAGCCACGGCGGCTTCTGCACCAACAGGCAGAGCTGAGTGGTCGCGACAGAGACCGTGGAGCCTGAAGTATTTACTAAACAGGCATTTGAGAAAAAGCGTGGCTACTCCTGGTTTAGAAAACTGACATCTGGAGTAAATGAAAGGAAATTAAAACAATTAGAGGAAGTCTGTCACTCCATTTTTTTAAGTTTGGAATTTTCCTTCAAAATGATGCACACAAATTACCAAACAAGAAAACTAAGGAGAAAACAGAATTACAGAATTTCATTCTGTAATTCTACCTTTACAATGGAGAGCATATTTACAGAAATGAGAAAAATGGTAGGTTACATATTTTGATTCGTCATCAATTGATGGGGCAAGTGTGGTTTTAAAATAATGAAGCATTTGGGCCGGCCCCGTGGCTTAGCGGTTAAGTGCGCACGCTCCGCTGCTGGTGGCCCAGGTTCGGATCCTGGGCGTGCACCGACGTACCGCTTCTCCGGCCATGCTGAGGCCGCGTCCCACATACAGCAACTAGAAGGATGTGCAGCTATGACATACAACTATCTACTGGGGCTTTGGCGGGGAAAATAAATAAATAAATAAAATTATAAAAAAAAAGAAAAAAAAATAATGAAGCATTTGCCAACACCACATTTTTAATAGTTTTAATTTTCTTTGGTTTATTACTATAAATCAACATTAATAGATGTCATGCATTATAATAAAATATCTTAGTTAAATGACCTTCTAAGATTTAAGTAAAAGGGATTTTCTAGCTACAAAAAAATCTCATAGATGAAACAGCACATAAGCCTCTTAACTGCTGTTATGATACCAAAGCCAATTCTTTTATGAGGCCAATCTCACTTTAAAATTTTCAAAATTGTTTATTTATAAGAGACTCCAACTGGTTAAAGAATGTAAGGAAATTAAAGTGGCTCACAAGAATTTCCTTTAAACAGGGCCCTTAGAAGGAAAACTTCTTCAGAGAACGTGACAAAGGCATTTTGGGGCAAGTCTCTATTTCCTTCTTTATTCCTCTATTCTAAAGCCATTTATTTATGTCAGAAGGAAAGACAGCAAATGTTGGCCTTTCCTGTGATCTTTTCAAAGGGTTGAATCATTTGAGAACCAAGAGGTTCGGCACTAAAGAGGGCATCAGTCCTCAAGTTATCCCCCTGTTGCACAAATGGCTTTTTCTGTCTAAATTTTTAAAATTTTATTGTGGTAAAATATACATAAGATTTACCATTTGCCCATTTTTTAAACTTTTTTTTTTAACAGTTTTATCTTATTTTTTTTTGTGAGGAAGATCAGCCCTGAGCTAACATCCATGCTAATTCTCCTCTTTTTGCTGAGGAAGACCGGCTCTGAGCTAACATCTATTGCCAATCCTCCACCTATTTTTTTTTCCCCCAGAGCCCCGGTAGATAGTTGTACGTCATAGTTGCACATCCTTCTAGTTGCTGTATGTGGGACACGGCCTCAGCATGGCCAGAGAAGCGGTGCGTTGGTGCGCTCCCGGGATCCAAACCTGGGCTGCCAGTAGTGGAGCGCACGCACTTAATCGCTAAGCCATGGGGCCGGCCCAATTTGCCCATTTTTAAATGTACACTTAAGTAGCATTAATGATATTCTCACTGTTGTGCAACCATCACCACGATTTATTTCCAAGACTTGTCATCACCCCAAACATAAGCTCTGTATCCATTAAAAATAAGTCTCCACCTTCCCCAGCCCAGCCCCTGGTAATCTCTTATCTACTTTCTGTCTCTGAGCTTGCCTATTCCAGACATTTCATGTAAATGGAATCACACAATATTTGTCATTTTCTGTCTGGCTTATTTCTCTTAGCATAAAGTCTTCAAGGTTCATCCACGTTGCAGCATGTGTTAGAATTTCTTTCCTTTTTAAGGCTGACTAATATTCCATTGTATGTATATACCACATTCTGTTTATCCATTCACCCATCGATAGACACGGGTAGTTTCCACCTTCTGGTTATTGTGAATAAAGCTGCTGTGAACATGAAAGTATAAATATCTATTTGAGTCCGTTTTCAATTCTTTTGGGTATATAACCAATTGCTAGATGATATGGTAACTTGGTTAAATTTTTGAGGAACCACCAAAGCAGCTGCACCATTTTACATTCCTACTAGCAATGTATGAGGGTCCCAATTTCTCCATATTCTCCCCAGTACTTCTTTTCTTTTTTCTTTTGGATTATAGCCATCCTAGTGGGCGTGAAGTGGTATCTCACTGTGCTTTTGAATTGCATTTCCCTAATGACTAATGATGTTGAGCATCTTCTTGTGTGCTTACTGGCCATTCATATGTTTTCTTTGGAGGAATGTCTAATTGAGTCCTTGTCCCTTTTTTATACAATTGGTTTTTATTGCATTACTGATTGAGGAATCTTAAGGCCTCTGTTTGTTGAAAACTAAAATTCAGAACGTGTGAAAGTCACCCAGCAGTGAGTAATTCACCATCAGAACTGCGGGTGAGCGCACACGATGTTATGTATGACCTTGTAGTGCTGCACTGGTTTTTCTTGTGCTTTATTACTTAAAGTTACTAGGAACTAAACTAGGAAATAAACTAGGAACGTTAATTATTTTGATCTCTTTTGAAGGAGTATCAGAATAAGTAAAAGAAAACATTGCCACTTTATTTCAACAGTTCTATGCCAGTCACCGTTTATGCACAGGCTGTCTTGAACCTATCCAGCAGCTCGAAGCCACTCAAATGCCACTGCCACTTTAGAGACGAGCCGAGTCCCATTTAAATCAAGCTTCCTTTCTAAACGAGACTGCTTCTTCAAGGGGGAACAAACTCCGAGCTGAGAGTCAGGGGTTAGAGAGAAACCACACCCCAGGGGAAGGCCCTCTGAGGTCCCTGCACCCCCCTACCCTGGGGACCCTGGCAGAGCAAGTGAAATCACAGCGAAATTTAAAAAGAAGGTGCTTAAAGCACGTCGATCACACACGCGACTGATGCACTCTTTGGAGGCATCGGAATAAACACCACTTGAAGAACCAGTTTTGCTTCAGGAAAACGTCCCTTGCTGTGGGCCTGGCGTGCCCCTCAGATGTCCTTTCAGGAAGGAATCTGGTGTGTGATGTGATGTGAGGGCTCAGGGGCTGCCAGCCAGTGGTCAGCGCCTCGGGCGCAGGAGCAGGACGCCTCGACCACCTGCAATCTTCGCTCGCTTGCTGGAAGCTTCCTGGGGGCTGGTCAGACCCACACTGGGCTGAGGCTCTCCCTGCCCGATCCTCTTCCAGCCTTTACACTGATGTTCACAGGTGTGGCCCCCAACAAACCTCTCCTACTGCTGACTGCAGCTCACGGAGAGCTTTCAGAGGACCCTTTCTTTTTTAAAATGAAAAACAATTGCTTTCCAGGGATCGCACGTTCCCAACGTGGAACAGTCCATGAAAAACACACTTTTTAGACTACTGAAAGGGATTTATTGGCAGATGTGTCCTAACTTGGGTTCTAAAGACAGATTCTACAAAACTTACATCCAAGATATGTATTTAGAAACTTCCCATTTTTAATATTAAAGGACGAAAGCAGGATATGGAACCACATACAAACTGTGACTATAGCTTTGAAGAAAAGCAGATGCATGGGGAGAAACACGCCAGAATACTAACACGGGCTGGGCGAGGGTGGGGATATGGGCATTTTCTGCCCCGTTTATCACTTTTTACCTCACTCTTACTCATTTCTATAGAATATGATACACACACACACAAACACACACAAAATTTCTAATCCTGAAATATTCAGTCATACATTTCGTATCAGGACAAGAAAATGCCAGGAGTTGGTGATTACCTTAGGTTCTGCCAACAGAGTACAACATATCAAAACATCCGACAATCAACAACCAACATGTGGGGATAAAACTTAACTGTTATTCTAGGAAGGATGTTTGATAATTAAGTGGCAACTACTTTTATAAGTGGGGAGCTTATTAATGAGAATTTTTGGATTTTACCTAAACAATCCTTCCGAGTAAGAAAGTCTGATAATGAGTAGGGCCCCCTGTATTTAAAGGGTTAAATGAAACTCAGAATAAGAATTGGTTCCAAGTCCAGCTTAGGGGAACTTGAAAGAGCTCTGAGGGTGCACTGCTCTCAGTGACCAGAAAAAAGGATTATTACTCCTAAAACTTTCATACTTCCTTTGAAATCTTGCTGATATGAAAGTTTTGTTAGGCACATAATTTCACAAAACTGCACATTCCAATGGAGCCCTATGGAAAAGTACAATAAGTTATTTTTATAGTTGACATATCAAAATCAGTAAGATCACATTCCAATAATTATAACACTTAAAACTCTGTCAATTTTTTTCTAACATTTGTCTTTAGAAATTAATTTAGATTATTAAGGATCGCTTTATATTGAGGTCATTCAAGAGATCAAATAATGTTACAACAAATACATCCGCATTACAAAATACTGACACCTGCTCAAACTACTACTTACTGCAGATTAACAGCCTGTCAAACAACATTTCTACACAAATTTAGCCGCGCCCTTGCAGTTGGTGAAAACAAACTTCCATCCAGAAGTCCCTGTATCCAGACTGAGGTTCTTC